TTTTCTTTGAGACAGAGTCTCGCTCTGTCACCCAGGCTGGAGTGCAATGGCATGATCTTGGCTCACTGCAACCTCCGCTTCCCAGGCTCAAGTGATTCTCCTGCCTTAGCCTCCTGAGTAGCTGGGATTACAGGTGCCTGCCACCACACCAGGCTAATTTTTGTGTGTTTAGTAGAAATGGGGTTTCACCATGTTGGTCAGGCTGGTCTCGAACTCCTGACCTTGTGATCCACCTGCCTCGGCCTCCCAAAGTGCTGGGATTACAGGCATGAGCCACTGCACCTGTCCTGCTTCCTGTCTTTTTTAGACCTTGGCCACAGGGACAAGAATCTCACCCAGCCCTACCAGATCTAAGAATCCCGAGTTAGCTGCAACATCTCCCCCACCATTCCTCCAGGCCTTCACCCCACCCCATCTTACAAATGTATATCAGACCATGCACAATTCCATATTTCCTTACTTCATTCCCAGGATGGCCAGATAGCCCAGATCAGTTTCTTGCAAATATCTTGAGAATGAATGGTCCTGTATAAGGACAGACAGTGTTTTATTTACATGGCCCAGGACATTTTTTTATTTTTTTTTTCAGAGGCTTTGGGATCATTTATTTATCAAGTGCCACTTGTGGGGGCAAATAAGACAGAAATGATTCCAGACCAGGGGTTGAAAACTGGTGGATCTGATATACAGATATTTTTTTTGTTGTTTGGCTAATATGATGTCGGGACATTTATTTTGAGCCAATACTTAAAAACCAAAAGAGTCTGCCTAAAAAGCCTAGATCTCTGGCTTCACTTACAAAATCAGATATGTTGGCCACGCTGAACTGAGCTCCTGTCTGGCAGCGATTTGCTTATTTACATTTACCTGGCCTGCACGTACCTGAGTTTCAGTTCTTGCCTTAGTGAGCATCACCACCCAGGGAGTGGGTGGGAGAAGAGTTGGGGTTTCTGCTCTGTCTGCAGTTCAGGTATGTGTCCACCAGAGCTCCCCATTCTGTGAAGGGTCCGAAGTATGGAGAAAGCTCCAAAGTGAAACATCTGGGTTAGAATCCTGGCTCCACCAATTACCTGCTGTGTGACCTTAGGCAAGTGGTCTAACCTCTCTGAATTTTACTGTCCTAGTCTGTAAATGGTGATGATAAAAGTGCCTACTTTTGTGATATTAAAAGGAAATCTATCACAAACCTTAAAACAATGTTCCATCCATTTCAGCTAGTATTATTATTTCAATTATTATCAGACAGAGGTGCGTCTGCTCTTTTGGCCCAGGTTTGTTAAGGCTCTTCCATTTTTGATATTATAAAAATTTTACTTTTATGATTGTTTGTGATCTTAAACTTCAGAGTAAATTGAAACATATACATATGTAAATCATAATATTAAAATGCACAAGTGAATCCTGAAGCAAAGAGGAGAATTCTTTTATGTCGCGAATCATCCCCTCCAAACATGAGTCATTCTGTCCCTTGGGATCCTGGGCTGGGTGCGGTGGCTCATGTCCGTAATCTCAGCACTTTGGGAAACTGAGGTGGGAGGATCACTTGAGGCCAGGGATTCGAGACCAACCTGGACAACACAGTGAGATCCTATCTCTATAAAAAATTTAAAAATTAGCCAGGCATGGTGGCACATGCCTGTAGTGCCAGCTACTCAGGAGTCTGAGGTGGGAGGTTTGCTTGAACCCAGGAGTTTGAGGCTGCAGTGAGATATGATGGTGCCACTGCACCCCAGCCTGGGTGACAGAGTGAGACCCTGTCTCTATTAAAAAAAATAGCAACCAGAAACAGATCCTCGTTCATCACCCTTCTTAAAGGGGCTCACCTGCAATGTGTCCCTATTTGAGAAAGCCTCTAAGTGACTCCACTGCCTGCCCTGGTGAGTTGACAAGGCACTGATTGGGTTTTGGCTTTTGGCTCTTAGCTCACCTCCTCTTTTGAAGAGAATTTTTGTGCTGAGAGTTTTCTTCTTTCTGGCTATCAGTTTAATGTGGGAGCTGTATATTGTTGTAATACACAAACCTGACCATAAGAGGGCAGATGTGTTCTGCAATACTGCCCTAGAATCACCGTATGTAGGTAGATAGAGATATATAAATAATCTTTTTTTTTTTTTTTTTTT